CCCCCCCCCATGCACACACTCTGCCTGTCTTTAGGCATTTTTATTTATTGAGGTTGGGGAAGGGTCTAAGGTGCCCACCTCGCCTCCCATCCCAGGTGATCAAGGGCCGTAAGGGGTTGCCACCTCCCTGGGATCCACAGTTTTAGGACCCTGGCAGGGGGCAGGAGTGAGAGGGCTGGGAGGAGGAAGAGGGGATTGAACAAAGGCGGAACTGAGAGGGGACAGAGGCCACCGTCCAGGCCAAGCAGGAGACAGGGGCCTCGGTGTGGCCAGCTTGGGTAGAGCAGGGAGCCAGCCGTGGCTGGGGACTTCGGAGGCCAGGCAAAGGCATGGCTTGGGCTGGGGAGAGGTCAGGGGTCAGGTTTGGGACACCACTTTCAGGATAGAGGTCAAAGGTTGGAGGGGTGGGGGTTGGGTGGATAGGAGAGTGCCGCAGTGCTGGCTGTGCTATGGCAGGGCTGAGTGGGCCTGGGGCCTGCAGCCGCCGGCCGGTTCCTAGCAGAGGCTGCTAAGCTCACTCTTGCTGCAGCCCCACTTGCAGCAGTTGCTGGAGAGGCCAGCCAGGACGTACCGGCCACCCCGAAGGACTCCGGGGGCTCCCGGCCAGCCAGGGCGGTTCCCGTAGAAGGCCTGGGGGGACTTGGTCAGGCCCAGCCACTCGGCGGAGGCCACAGCCTCATCTAGCTGGCCTGCCAGGCTGTCTGTATCGGCATCTGCCTCCGGGAAGACATCCCCTGCAAAAGATGGAGAGTCAGTGTTCCAGGTCCAGCCACTGTCACCTGTGGAGTCCCGGCTCCTGGCTGGCACAGCTACTTCTCCTTGCTTGGGATACAGCCTCATAGCTCAGTTTTGGTTCCACTCAGTTCTGGGTTCACATTCTGACTCTGCCCTCAGTTTTGATGGGCAGATTATTTGATCTTACTGAGCTTGATTTTCCTCTCTTGTCATTTATTTTCCCTTATTCTTTATTTATTGAGGACTGGGTACATGTGGAAGCCAGGCTGACTGAGCACAAATCCAAGGTATAATTGAGAACAAGTGAACTCTGAGCCTCAGTGTCCTTGTCTTCAAAGTGGGGAAAATAATAACCTCTACTTCCCGAGTTTTAAGGAATAAAGGAGTTGATGCCCATTTAAAAAATCAACAAAAGCCGGGCTCGGTGGCTCAGCCTGTAATCCCACGCCTTGGGAGGCTGAGGGAGTGGATTGCCTGAGCCCGCGGGTTTGAGACCCGCCTGGGCAACTTGGCGAGACCTCATCTCTACAATAAATAAAAAAATTAGCCAGATGTGGTAGCACACATCTATAGTTCTGCCTACTTGGAAGGCTGAGGCAGAAGGATCACGTGAGGCCAGCAGGTTGAGGCTGCGGTGGCCATGAGCATGCCACCACACTCCATCCTGGGTGACAGAGCAAAACCTCAACTCAAAAAAAAAAAAGAACTTGCCAAGATCTCACAGATGCTAAGTGTGTAGAGCCTCACTGGAACCCAGGCAGCATGCCGTCTGGGTCCACACTCACATTCATCCTCTTCCTCCTCCTCCTTCTCAAGAACATCTATCTTTTGCCAGGCCCTTGCGCCTCTGGAAGCTAAGTCTCCCGTCTCCCTCTCACTGCCTCCAGCCTGGACTGAGCCCCCTGCTCTGCTTAAAGCCTGCCCTTATCTCTTTTGACTTAATTATACCCCTTAATAATCCTCCAAGATTCAGAGACTGTGCCTCTCATTCAAAGATCAAGGCCGTGCGTGGTGACTCCCGCCTGTAATCCCAGCACTTTGGGAGACTGAGGCAGGAGGATCGCTTGAGCCCAGAAGTTTGAGACCAGCCTGGGCAACATAGCAACAGCTCATCTCTACAAAAAGTAAAAAAAAAAAAAAAAAGAACCAGGCATGGTGGCGCACACCTGTGATCTCACCGACTTGGGAGGTTGAGGAGCTCAGGAGGTCAAGGCTGCAGTGAATGGGATCATGTTACTGCACTCCAGCCCCGGCAACCCAGTGAGATTCTGACTTAAAAAAAAAAAAAAAGTGAAGGCACATCCCCCCAGAGCGGGAAGCAACATGCTGGGTGGGTGGGGGGCTCCCACGAGATGGCAAAATCCAGCTGAGTGCACACGGCCCCCTCGCAGGACCTGCAAAACTTGGAAGGCACTTCGGGGTTGCCCTTTTCAGGGACCCCGCCCCTTCCGGAGTCCTGCAAGCTCAAGGCTGGGCCACCACAGGTGCTGGGAACACCCACCCTGTTCTCTGACTTTCTGGGTGGCCTCACCCTGCCTGGTCCTGCCACCAGGCTGACCCCGGGTCTCAGGCTTCCAGCCTGGGCAGGTCTCCCCAGCTGCACAAGGCAGGGCAGGGACCACCTCCCCGATGTCTGCCCATCTCCCACACCCCTGACGCCCACCCAGCCCCCTGCTCCCTCCCCGGCCTCACCTGTGGCTTCATGGGCTAGGAGGTCCGCCCGCCTCCACCGGGAGCCCCCACAGGTGAAGACGACCGCTCGGATGAACTCCCGGCCGCAGAGCTTCACCCCGTAGGGGGCGACCCGGGCCTCGGCCTCTGGCTCCTTGGCCAGCACCCACAGCGCCAGCAGCAGCAGCCGCGTGCACCTGGCCATGCTGGGCAGAGGTGCCTGGGACGCCAGGTGGGCCTGTCTGCGCTGCCTCCGGCCTCCCATTTATACACAAGTCTCCCCCACCCCGCCTGAGGGAAGCGAATGACCTCCAGATTATCTCCCCCAGCAGAGGGGAGGCGGGCACGGCCCCCCCCAGCCCGACCTTTCTCATTTTCCCAATGAAGCGATAACCTTTCGCCGGGACAGGGTGACGTGGCCCAGCTGGCTGTCATCCCTGATAGAGAGGTGAGAAGGCCTTGGTTCTGCAGAGATCAGAAACACAGACTCACACCAGCCGAAGCCAGAAGACACAGCCAGACCCGGCAGGGCGAGTGTGCGCTGGACTTCAGACTAAGATAATAATAACAACAACATAACGGTGAATGCTAGGGCCAAGCATGGGGGCTCAGGCCTGTAATCTCAGCACTTTGGGAGGCCAAGGCGGGAGGATTGCCTGAGCCCAGGGGTTCGAGACCAGCCTGGGCAATATAGTGAGACCTCGTCTCTACACAAAATGAAAAAAAAAATTAGCTGGGCTCGGTGGCTCAGCCTGTAATCCCATGCCTTTGGGAGGCTGAGGTGAATGGATTCCCTGAGCCTGTGGGTTCGAGACCCGCCTGGGCAACTTGGCGAGACCTCATCTCTACAATAAATCAAAAATCAGCCGG